GCGCAAGAACGACCAAGACGCGCCACCGAGAGGAGAGAGAGAAGCCGAGCTGGAAGCGCAGCCCACACAGCTACGTGCTGAGATTACAGCCCTCCAAGCCAACAATCAAGCGCAGCGTCAGCCGCCGATAGCGTCCAAGGCTCGCGCTCCGACCGGCCTGCCGAAGTTCAAGGGGAAGCGTGACGACGATGTGCGCCAGTGGCTCTTCCAAGTGGAGACCCTGTGCCGAATCAACGGTCACGACGCGACGTACGACAACTACACGCTCCCTTCGATCGCTGGGACAGCGATGGAGGAACCTGCGTCAGGATGGTTCCTATTCTGGGCCTCAAGAACTCCCGCGGATATGCAGACGTGGCGTCGGTTCATGAATGATGCCCTCGCTCACTTCGAAGCCTCCAACTATCAAGCGGTGTTACGACAGAAGCTACGTGAACTCCGTCAGGTCAATGACATCGAAGAGTACAATGGGAAGTATTCGTCGTTGATCTTCCGCGTTGAGGACATGAGCGAAGTCGACCAAGTCAGCTACTGTTGTGACGGTCTCAAGCGTGCGACTCAAGCCTATGTTAAGCTTCAAAACGCGACGATGCTGAGTGAGGCGATGGACCATGCTGCGAAGTATGAGATGTCTCATTTCGGTGGCGAGCGCAAACCGACCCGCGAGAAGCCGGAACGTGAGCAACAGTCCCGCGGACGAGCAAGCTCTAACCAGTCCAACAACAAGAAGCCGTTCAGCAAGAAGTCCTTCAAGCCCGGTCACTACGCTCCCGCAGAACAAGCCAAGGAAGGACCCGAGTGCTACTATTGCAAAAAGCCAGGGCACTTCAAGCGTGATTGCAAGAAGCTGAAGAGTGACGAGGGAAACGATCAGCCACGCCAGTAGAAGAGGGACCTGACGTGGCGAAGGCTAGCGAAGAAGATTTAACCGTAAACGAGGATACGTTGAATCTGCTTTGCGAAGACCCTCTCGTCTACACTCGTGCGCCATTGTATTCGATTGAAGGATCAATAGTACAGGGTGTAAACAATTTCGGTGCCAAGATCCTGTTGGATTGTGGTGCCACAACCGTATACGTGTCTCGTGGATTCGTCAAGAAGCACGAGCTGAAGACACACGCTTACACCGACCGGACTATCAAGGTGAAGCTCGGCGACAACAAGATCGGTGAACCTATCCTGGAGTTGGTGAAGATCGAGATTCTACTCCAAGATGTCCCACATTACCAGTGTGTAGCAGTTGTCTTCGATATTCCGGAGGAGTTTGACTGTGCTCTCGGGATGCCATTCTTTGTGGATGTACATCCGGAAATCGACTGGAAGAATCGTTGCTTCAAGGTATGCGTCTCAGATGGAGCCTCAACGGCGCATATTTCGACTCCCTGTGGGAAGTGCAGTCAGGTTAATGGCTCTTGGCTTCACGATGCTGTGGATTGCGAACGCCCTTCCGCGATAAGCCGTGATTCCTGTCGATCCGCCGTGCCAGAAACACAGCTGGAGGGCGAAGTTGAAAGCGTTGAAAGACCAGCTGAAGACGTGGAGAAGAAGAACGCTAGAGCTGAAGCAATGTTTACTCTCGGAGTGGTTGATTCGGAAGGAGTTGAAACCAAGTACATCACTAGGAAGAAGCTACGGAAGTTCCTACGGTTACCTGCGAAGGGCCACGGAACACGACTTCATGATTGTGGTAACGAACGATACGATCAAGGAGATCGAGCGAGATCTTAAGAGGAGCGATGAACCAGACAACGTTGGATCCGAGAAGGCCAGGCGATTCCTAAGCACGGACTGGGGGACGTTCAAGGATAACCCAGCATACCCTGTTCTCGTCGAGTACAAGGATAATGTGCTCAAGCCAGAGTTGCCCGATGGACTGCCAATGGAGCGCGACATTGAGCACCGTATCGATGTAAAGGACCCAAGCACCGCAATGTATCGGCAGCAGTGGCGTCTCTCGCCAGAGCAGAAGACGGAAATCGATAAGTGGGTACGCGAGATGATCGCGAAGGGACTGATTCGACCAAGCATCAGCCCTCACGCTGCACCGACATTCTGCGTACGCAAACCCGTGGGATGGCGTATCGTTCACGACTACCGGTACCTCAACAGCAGCACGATCAGACAGAGCGTGCCGATGACGCGCAAAGAAGACGTTTTCGATAGTATGGCTGGCGCCTACTATTTTTCGTGTATGGATTTAATGTCGGCGTACTACCAAGTCGAATAAAGATGGATCATGCGAAGTACACCGCATATCAAGCGCTAAGCGGCCTCTATGAATACCTGGTACTACCTATGGGAGTCAGCAATGCTCCTGCAACTATGCATAGGCTGACGTCGTCGTTGATCAAGGGGTTGTCGCACACCAGATCATTCTACGATGATATCTACGTCTTCACGAAGTCGAAGGACATCAACGATCGTTACGCGACGTACTGGAGATACTCAAGGAGAACAAACTGTACGTGAAATTGTCTAAGTGTGTGCTCTGCGCTGAAGAGATCCCGTGTCTTGGTGATTTTATTGGCCGAAACGGAGTTCGGATAACCCAGACAAAGTACAGACCATTCGCGATTGGCCGGTCCCAAGGACCCAAGAACAACTCCACAGCTTTCTCGGTTTAACTGGATACGTGCAGCGATTCTGTGAGCAGTATGCTGAACTGACGGCACCACTGTTAACTCTGTTGAAGAAGAAAACCCAGCGGAACGCGAAGATAACACTGAATGCAGTGCAGTTGAAGAGCTTCAAGGATCTGAAACGACGACTATCCGACACACCAGTTCTACATTTACCCGACTTCACAAAGCAGATGCACTTGCGGACGGACGCAAGTCGGTTCGCTGTGGGTGGTGTTCTCTTTCAAGTTGTCGATGAAATCGAGCGACCAATCGCTTTTACCAGCCGGAAGATGAAGTCAGCAGAGCTGAAGTACCCAACTCAACAGCAGGAGCTACTCGCGATTGTTAACACATTGACGGAGTTTCGGATTTACTGTTTGGACCGACCGGTGATGATCGAGACGGACCACAAGTCACACGAGGGAATTTTCCAGCAGAAGATGGCGAATTGAAGACTAGCCCGGTGGTACGACATCCTCGCAGAATACCAACCAGTCTTCGCGTACTTACCAGGAGCGAAGAATGGTATCGCGGACGCACTGAGCCGAAGACCAGATCTTAAGCCTGAGACGAAGGAGTTTCACGATTTACTCGTCCCAAGCTTCAACGAGACGAGTTACCAACTTCGTGTTACCGAGATTCGGCCAACAAATGAGCTGATAAAGTTGATTATCAACGGGTACGCTAAGGACAAAATCATTCGAGAAATTCGACGCGCGATCAAGAAGCGTGGTACGACAGCGAACCCTCGTGGTACGGCTGAGAAGCAATACAAGGCGTTCATTGAGGAAAAGAACCTGATCTGGTACCAAGGAACAACGGATGAGAAGCCACGAATTGTCGTTCCAAACGTGGTGGCGCTAAAGAATCGCGTCATCTCCGAAGTACACGATTTAAACTACGGTGGGCATTCCGGCACCGATCGCACATATCTGAAGCTACGTGCTGACTGGTATTGGCCGCAAATGGTTCGTACGATCAAGAAGTACATCACGGATTGTGAAGATTGCAGACGGAACAAACCTCGGTTGACGAAGACCCCTGGGCGATTGGAACCTCTACAGATTCCAGAAGAACGATGGCGTTCGATTTCGATGGATTTCATCACGGACTTACCGGACACAAAAACCGGGAAGAACTCGATTTGGGTTGTCGTGGACCGCCTAACCAAGCGTTCCCATTTCATCGCAACGACGAAGACAGTTTCCGCGCAAGAGGTGGCGACGTTATTCATCGACAACATCTGGAGGCTTCACGGTATGGCACGTGATATCGTGTCAGACCGAGATACCAAGTTTGTCTCTGGATTCTGGAGTCAAGTCTTCGACAATGTGAGAACCAAGCTCAAGATGACGGTAGCGTACCGGGCTCAAGGTGATGGTCAAACGGAGAGGACGAACCGAACTCTTGAAGAGTACCTCCGCTGCTTTGTATCTCCACGACAAGATGACTGGGATGTACATCTTGCGAACGCAGAGTTTGCCATCAACTTAGCGGTCAACTCAAGCACCAAGATGTCACCATTCGAGGCCGACATTGGATACGTCCCGCACAACCCACTATCTGCTATTGCTGAGTCAAGTCGGCGAGGATTGCGCGGTGGACGACGCCAAGGCGTTCAGTTTACGGAACATCAAGCAGCCGTACTTCGCCAGTGTCAGGAGGCCCTCGAGGACGCGCAAGCCCGTATGACCGACGTGTACGACCGCGGACGCAAAGATCAAGACTTCAGCGTTGGTGACCAAGTGTACCTAAGCACGAAGAATCTGGACACAGCGCACAAGGGGTTTCCCAACTCACGCAAGCTTGGACCCAAGTGGATTGGACCGTATTCCGTCGTGCGCAAGGAACATCGACACGCATACGAGATCAGCTTGCCGCCCGGACTCAAGCTACATCCAGTCTTCAACACCGGCTCACTCAAGCCGTACGAGTCTCCGACGCGTCTCTCGCGACCTCACGAGGTAATATTACACGATGGCCAGGTGGGACAGATCGTCGAAGCAGTTATCAACAAGCGTCAGCGCAAGGGGAACGTACAGTACCTCATTCGGTGGGTGGGTGAGAGGAAGACGACGTGGGAACCGCTCGAGAACTTACACCAAGTGACTGGGTTGATTCAAGCGTACGAAGCCAAGACGCCTAAAAGATCAAGAAAAAGACGGCGTCAAATTTCCGAGGACGAAATAGTAGGTCGACGGACACAGCAACTCAAGAATAAAGATTAGCGATTTCATCTCAAGATTATGTTCAAGATCCAGTTAAACGTTCAAGGTATACAAACTTCAAGTTCCAGGCGCAAGTTCAAGTTTAAAAACGTCAAGCTGAAAAGGAGCCATGCTATTATCAAGTTAGCCTACTTCTCCCTAGACCGGTATTTTAGCGAATCAGGACGCGTCGGACGAATCGTACTTTCGCCAGCCACGAAAGGCGCATTCCAACAGCGGCATCTGCACGAGGCTTTCGTCGGAAACGAAGCGACCGTGCTTCGTCACCTGAAGCATGAACGCGTGCGACTTACGCTGAGGACCTGGGAGAACACCTGCGCACAGATACACGCCAGGCGCCAGCAGCAGGAAATCCAGACCGACGCAAGCTTGAACGCCTTCGAGACGAAACTGGACCTGATTTACACCAATCGTATCCTCACAGATCTCAGCGCGACCAGCGGCACGAGCGGCGCGGTTGGAATTCTGAATGAAAGTCCACAGTGTGGACCACACCACCCCAGCAGATGTGATTGGCTTGTCAGTCGCAGCACGCACACAGTATAACGCACCGACAGCAGCTTCCGAGTACCAGTCGGAGACCCCAAGGGCGTCGGCAGCAAGATCCAGAGCGCGGAAGGCGCAACGGCCATCGCGGAAGGCTCCCATAGCCTGTGAGAAGTCGTCCGGCTGCGAGAGAGAGAACTCAGCGAAGGTCAGGGAACCGCCGGTAGCTTTGAACTGATCGACGAGCTCAAGATACTCAGTGAAGCCATCTTCCTCAAGGAGCCAACGGGGCTCCCAAGAACCCTCGGTTTTCCCTGCAGAAATGATGTACTCAACATAATAGTGAGCGTCTTGGGTTACCTGCGCGCCAAGACGATCAGAAATAGTCCAGACGTGCCAGCGGGGCGATGTCGCGGCACTTCGAGCTGGAGACGTTTTCCGTTGAGCTTGGCGGCTGAGGGACGCGCGCGGTTTTCGCCCACCAGTTGACCGAGACGCATTCTGCTTGGTTCGTGCCATGGCAGGCTCTCGAGGGAGCGAGTAGTTGAGCAGCCAAGGAAACTAACACAACAGGGCGGCGGACACAGCGGCAGTGGCGAGCGTCGACTGAGGTAAGTTGCTAGCTGGGGAGAGTCTAAGGCAGGTGAGAAGCTGCGGTAGTGGAGACCAAAGGCGTAGAGCAAAATGGTAAGAAGCGAGGACGAGCAACGGATACGTCAAGACCGACGACGGACTCAACCGCATTTGACGAAACAAGTGTGACAAACACTTCAAATGCTGGAGGGGTGAGTGTATCGAATAACCGATAGTATCGAGATATATATATCACTTTAGAGATTGATATTAAATAATACAGGGGCTCTCTCAACCAACTGTTTGGTTGAGGGCAGTTGGTCGGGGAGACCAGCACACTTTGCTTTCTCCCCGCCAGCCCCAAGACTCTCCTCGTTCTCCTCTCCCTCCGACAAGGGGCCAGTTTGTTACAATTGTCTTGCGCTCGAACGGCAGCAAGATCGTTTGGTTTTTGCTTCTCTCAGCCTTGATAATTCCCTTCTCTGCAGCAACAGCCTCTACATATTCTGGATCTTCTCTGAGTTTTTTTCAGTATATTTGGGGGAGCTTGGTTGAACGAGCGGCACCTCGGTGTCGCTTTCGTCGCGCTACGGTTTGCCACACTAAATTTACAATACTCAATCGAAGTGCTCGCCACAGCAGACGCATAGCTTCGTTTTAACTTTGCCAAGTTGCACCTTTATCTGCTCATCTGCGCTATTGTACTGGCCAGATGAACTGATACACCAACTTTGAGACTTCATAACTTCTGTTCTACTGGCGATGTACCAACGAGATCGGTACCATTCTAAAGCTCTGTTTATTCTCGTTTAAATGAGCCAAACAGATTCCCGTAATACCAATTAATAGATTACGTCGACACCGTTGGCACTTGTTGTATGTCGCTGCTGCCATCAGTTTGGTTTCTTTGGTCGCCACCGATTTGACTGGCGGAGCGGCATCAACTTTTTCCGCTGGGTAAATTTGCAGACAGATTACGATCGTAATTCTACACCTTTGCCACTTCAAAGTGGCTACACTACAATGCAAAGTGGTGTGAAGTAGCTAAAGTAACAGATTACTTTTAGAGTTTTTATTCAGAAAATCGACTTTAGGTCAAGGTGAGAGCTGTCCAGTGCAATTTGGATGGCTGCGAGCTCAGGCACAACGTGCTGTTGCGGACAGCACTCCACAACTCGATTTGCGCCAAGGATGCCGAGTGAGCCAAAGCACACGCTGGCCGCGCGCACTCGCGTGCTTGACGCCTTCAAGCAAGGGCAGGACTGGCTTCTTGTGGCCCATCACAACGCCATCCCCCCAACTACCGCCCGCCGCATCGTTGACAGTGGCTCCCCAGATCTCAAGCCAAGGGGAGGCGCTCGTGCTTCCAACATCAAGTGCACGCCAGAGATCGAGGCGGCGCTGGAGGAATACGTCGAGGAGAACTGCCTCTACACGCTGGTACAGCTGCAACAGATGGTCGCGTGCGACTTTGGTGTCAGGTTGAGCACGTCGCTGATCAGCCAGAAGTTGTGCGGCAAGCTATACACCATGAAGCAGGTAGCGTTTGCTTACCTACTCTCTCTATTGCATCTGCTTACTGACTGTTTCTATGCAGGTCCGAATTGAACCAGTTACGTGTAATAGCGAAGAGAATATCGAAAAGAGGCGCGTGTTTGCCGAAGCTCTGCTCAAACATGAGCGTGAAGGTGCATTTATTGTGTACTATGATGAAACGAATTTTAACCTGTACTGCAAGCGACTGCAAGGTAGGGCGCTGCAAGGTGAGCGCGCTGTGGTGAAGTTACCGGCGTCAAAGGGCAAGAATCTGCAAGTGCAGTGTGCTGTCTCCACGGAGATCGGTCTCGTGCACTACGCTATTCAGCGTGGGAGCATTAAGATGGAGGCTAACGCAGCCTTCGTGGATGCTATCTACGACGCTGTGAAAGCACATGACATCTACCAGAGTGAGTTCTCGGGGAAGGCGATTGTTATCGTGCTGGACAACGCGCCAGCGCATAGCCAGACGGAGGACCTGGTGCGCGAGCGCAGCGACTTGGTGCTACTGCGCTTAGGTCCGTATTCTCCAATGTGCAACCCCATTGAAGGTAAGGGCTGACCCAGTGTGTACTGTTATTATGTACTAATGTTTATGATATGCTTTGTCTAGGCTGCTTTAGTGTGTTGAAGGCCAAGATCAAGAGCTTTTTAGCTCTCAGCCATGACGAGATGTTGGGTGCGCCTCGTGGACAAATGCAAGAGCTCCGCATGCAGCCGCTAGAAAAGGCAGCGGAGCGTTGCCTTCTTTGCATGACTGTGAGGCTTGTGAATAGGATGGCGCGTCACTGCGCGCACGCTGTTGCTGCTGCTAAACGCTCCGAGTCGATGGAGTACGGAAAGTAGCCATTTGAGTTGGATAAAATCCATTTTGCTCTGGATACAAAATCACAATATAGGTTTTGTAAAATTTTAATGTTTGAGATTTTGACGTTAACCGTTTTGATTTTCACTAGGGCCACTTTGAAGTGGCAAAGGTGTAGTTGTTGGCGCTTACCGCCAGTGCTTCACAGGGGCCATGAAACGTAATGCTAGATATAAGGCTGACTTTTCGTTCTAGTATCGGACGCTATTTAACCTATAACTCGTTCACGATTCCAGCACATTCCACAGATACTAAAAAAAACTACATGGATGTAAGAGAGAATATTTACAGTTTCATGGACAGAGTGCTCTACAACTGCCCGCAGAAGTTTCAACCAACCACAACTCGGCTCGTTTCTGCCCAATCATAATTTATTTCGCTCAAAATGTTGGACCCAAAGACGTCGCTGGCGATTGATGCGCCGCCTGTTGCGCCCTATGACGACGGCTTCTCCACTGACAGCGAGGACTATAATGCAGACGCCATTCCACACGATTCGTTAGTGTCTTCTACCGTCACCTGTTACGCCAGAAATGCAGTCATCATCGAGAACCAGCCCAATATCCAACGGCAACATATCCAGAACAAAGTGGCAACAAACGCCAGTAAACAGCCCTCCGAGGACAAACCTCAGTCCACTGCAGCTACAACACTCGAAACTGAGGGAAAAATTTTGACACGCGCTGCTGACGACGCCAAAAGAGCAGCCAGCTGGCGTTTTAAACCTCAAGAAACCGCGCCAACTGGTGCCCCTCCTAGGAAAAGTGTCAATAAAAGCGAAGAACACTGCAGAAGCTGCAAGGGATACCTGACGCCATTGGGCGAAAGGCTCAAAATGACGAGGACTGCAGCCTTCCTGCAGGTCGGGAAGAACCTGCCGCCCTCAAGACAATGCTGCTGCTGCCACATCACGTACCCGCTCGTGGCTCTCACGGATGAGAGCAGGAGTCGAGCGTGTACACAGCCACGTTGCTACATGTGCAACTGGGCAGCCAGAGCTGCTGAGAAGTGTTCATCTGTGGGTGCAAAGCGAACAGTGGACGGAGCTGTGAAAGGTGCAGCAGGACTGAGCCCCACCGAAGCGTCAAAACTGCGAGACAAGGGGAATTTAACTGCAAAAGAAATCCCCAACATGGCTACAACACGTGAAACCAGCGAAACAGACGAGAATTGCTGCAAAAGCTGCAAGGGAAAGTTGCCATCGCTAACCGAACGCCTCGCAGCGATGAAGTCTCCAGCTGAGCACCTAAATAAGGAGCAGGGATGGAGAGTTTCCCCACCGAGTACTCGACAATGCTCCTGCTGCTTTCTCACATTCCCACTGGCGTCAGTCACTGAGGAAAGCAGGAGCGTCATGTGCGCTAAGCCTCTGTGCTCTGCTTGTGATGGAGCTAGGAGACTGGCTTGTACGTCGGAAGAGAAGGCTCCAACAGCCAACTCTACCCAGCCGAATCCCGAGAAGACGCCGGAGATTATTGTGGTGGACGGAGGAGAAGACGATGAAGAAGGAGAACTAGTGGAGCAAGAAATCTGCCAACGCTGCGGAGGCGACCTGATCCCTCCTTTGAAGAGACTGGAGTTGGTGAAGGACGCGGCTCTGACACTCGGAGGAAAGAAATCGCCACCGTCGAGACAATGCGCGTGTTGTCGCGTGACGTACCTGATGGGGTCACTGACCAAGAAGAGCAGGAAAGTGACTCGTGCGGTGCCAATTTGCCACAGTTGTTGCGTGGCAGGCGGGCCACCTATTTATGAAATGCTGTGCACGAGCGACGAGTTCCTTGAAGCCTTTAAAGTCGAGGACCCTGTTACAGCTCGACTTTTCTTACGGAAGAAGGAGAAGGGAACTATCGCGAAGGCAATAGACGCTCAGAGGAAGCGCATGATGAAGAGAACGAAGTCGTCGGCGCAGACATCGAAGACAGACACCCAAAACGCACAGACAGCGAGCAAGCAAGCGCCCGAGGGAGTCGCACCAATGTACAAGCCACGCAACCTAAAGGGTCGGCTTTTCGGTGGACCCCGCTATCAACTGATGCCCAAGAAGGCTCGAAAAAGCATGCCGGCACCTCGGTTGATCATCGGGAGTCCGGTGGCTCGCGGTCGTGGGCAGGTGGAAGACGAAGGGGAACAGCCGACGGATTCGAATTTGCCGCAGAGGTCGCGGACGGCGCGAAATCAAAGCGAGGAACCTCAAATTGAGAAGAGGGGGCAAGGAACGGGGTGATTGCTGTACCAGCAGTTGAGTTTTGTATCAGCTGAGCACTCAGCTATCATCCACGACGAACAAGTCGTTTTTTGCTTGAACTTTATAAGAGAAAACTGCTGGCACAATTGCGTATGTGTATTTCTCCTGTAGAGGAAAGAAGGTGGTAATGGCCACATTCTCCAATTACCTGGTATTAATAAAACTAAGCACGAAAGCTGAAATTGTATTTTTCAAGCATTGGATGAAGACAAAACGCAAGATATTTGTGTACAGAAAATTTTACCATTACTACACTAGTTGAACACTGTAAGAAAGTATTGAGATTTGAGATCTGACTTTGCAAATTTAAGCTACAGTTACAGTGCTGTAAAGAAAAGATTCATGTCGGCGAAGATCCATTCTATACCGTACGACAGCCAATTATTGCTTAGACTACATTTATTTAGTTTACACATAACTATTTATGATTCTGCAGCTAGTCGTATTTCATTTGCCTAACTAAATTTTTTGCATGTTTCTCCGATTTGCTATTCAATTCTTGGGGGGGGGGCAGCCAAAATGTTAACCCGCTCAAGTAATGTTTGCGTGACTCCACTGTTCCCGTACTTTAGTGCCGTAAAATGTCGCCGAACAATGCAGTAGAAGCAATACATGTAGTAGCTTACAGTTATTACACGAACTTGTGAGTTTATTGCAGTGTGTAAAATCTCAGCAAACCGATGACCAGTAGTCTGCATCCGATGACTGGTCTTTCGAACCTAAATCCTACTTCGAAGTACTACGTAGTAGTGCATTAAGGTCGAAATGCTTCGTAGCGTGCAATACTTCAACGCCATCATATTTCTATGGCGTATTTATCGCGTACCTACGTCTCCCCTCTTGATCCGGATCGTTTAATTGACCGAAAAATTTACGCAGTGAGGTGCAGCGGCTCAATGATCCAGTCGATATCTTCCGGCTTGGTAACTACCGACTCAAACTGCCAAATCGCCTTGTTCGACCTCGCAATTTCTTCGGCATCGTCTGAGTCCGGCAGCGTCATGCTCACACGCTCCGTGATATCAAACAGCACCGCCAGTTTTAGTCGCTCATCGACCGGAACACCCAGCACGGTGGCACCCGAAGAGTTTGTTGTCGACCGCTTCGCTACTCGTTCATACTGAACACTCATCAAATGCGCACTATGCACTTCGATCTTCTTCATCTCTGCACGAACTCCGGCACTGGCTGACTGCAGCACGAACGACTTGAACGCTTTATAGCTCACGGTCTCCAGCGATCGCTCCACCATTTAATGCACTCT